GGAGTAATTTGTTCGCCTCAAACCCCTAGTGTCCGACTCGGCAAACCTTACTCTTACGCTCATATTCACTGATTCTAAATTCGGTAATATAAGCCACGAGATTGTCCCACATCGAAAAACTACAAGAAGAAACAAGTATAAATATACTTGCTTCACACAAATCCATTTCAAGAAGGGTTCCCTTAAAGGTTAAATCACCAAAGGAAAAAAACAATCCTCTATTATCAGATAAACCATTAGAGGAGATCTCTTCTTCATATCTTATTTATTTTGCTTCGGAATAGAATAGATAAGGAACTCTCAGGCAAGGTACTTTCCTTAAAAATAATCTCATCTAACAAAGTGTGTGCAATATTAAAAGCATACAAGTATATTCAGTCGAAGCAGAATAAAAATGACACAGCTTAAGGAATATGGTTTTATCATTGATATCTACCATTCCCAATGTTGTTTCATTACCAAAAAAAAAAAAAAAAAAAAAAAAAAAAAAAAAAAAAAAAAAAAAAAAAAAACCAAGAAAAAAATATTACTCGATCCTACTTCCTTTCCGGATCAAACGGGGTAGATTCAAAAGCATCTACCACAACTGGACTTGCAGGAGGAGGATTTGATGGGCCAGTTGCAAGAGTGGAGACACTTGGAGCTGAAGGGACCTCAAGATGAGCTTTCACCATCTCGGCAAAAAGAATTTTAGCTTCCTGAGCTTTTGAACCCTCATCATAAAGGAAAGACATTCCCATATGGGCATCAAAAACCTCGGGATCTGTTGTCTTTTCCCCTGAACCCTGATTGAAGCCAGACCTGAAGGCCTTGGCACTAGATAAGCGCACCAAACTAGTGTAACGACCTTGCATCTGCCTCCCTGCAATGATGCAGGTGCTAAGGGCATCATTCAAATTCTGGACTTCAGTCTTCAGCGACTCAACTTTGGCATCAGAAGCAGCCAAACGCTTCTTGTAAACATCCCGAGCCTCGTATGCAATTTGTGTATTGGCAATAGCATGGGATGCCTTCTTCTCAGAATTACTGAGGTCTTTCTCCAGCTTCTTAAGGGAAAGAAACTGAGCCTCAGCAGTAACACAGAGGGCCATAGTATGATACAAGCCCTGCATTATGAGATAATAACAATGTAAGAAAGTGTGTAAGGCAATTATGACAATGGAAATGAAGGACGAAGCAAACCTCTATGGCTCGAACAGGGGCAGATGGGAGTAGCTGTTCCAACCCCATTCTGCCGATAATTTCTTCATCCTTGGGGAGCCACATTCCCCGAGCAACGGCCAGTGCTGCAGATGGGTCAGTGATCATAGAATCACCAACATGGAGGATGGACTTGTCCGCCCTCAAGAAGGAAGGAGTCCAAGGTGCTCCAGCCTCGGCAAGGACGTAAGCGCTGACCTCATCCTCAGGGTTAACCTCTTCGGTTTTCTTCCCTTTGCTTTTTAGGTTGGAAGCACCCTTGGATTTCGCGGTTGAAAAGGAGTTCAGCCTTGCCCTTTTGTTCAAAGGGACTCTGTCAATCTCTTTTTCCTTCTCATTTGTACGCAATATAGTCAACGGAGCATTCTCTACAGCTTTCCTCTTCAAGGCTTCAGCCCTCTGTTTTTCTTCCTCAGTCATGGGGAAGCTGTCAAATGATGGAAGTGAGAGGTCCATGAGATCAGCGGCTACAGCTATGGAAGCAACTGCTTTAAGACTCGCAGAAGTGAGTAAGCTCTCGATCGAGGGAGGGTTGCTCCAGACCTGCCTTTCCAGGAAGGAAAGCCTCTTTTTGGCAGCCGAAGAAGGAAATGTTGTTGAAAAAACACCAAAAAACTCGTAAATATATCGAAATAATAAGACTCGACATGGGAAACAGCCCGAGCACTCTTCATGAAGAAAGGGGGGATGTTCTATACCTAACTTCCCGAACTTGTGAGGGATTGGGAGTTTGCTCGATTGAGGCACGGCCCATCTCCCTTTAACAATTATCATCCTCTCTTTCCACTTCTTCTCAGAAGTAGGAAGGTCTGTACATATCCTTTGGTGCAAGGGGGAAGTGAAAAAGAAACGACAAGGTTCGGTTCCATGCTTAGAAATAGAATAAGTAATCAGCAAGTCAGCCAGAGTCAGGTCAAGACTCTCCTGCCACCGGCGAATGAGGAGTGCTAAGATTACTCGAAGGAAGTTAGGGTTTACTTGCAGGGGTGCAATCCCCAATTTGTTGAAGACTAAATGATAGAAGGGATGAAAGGGGAACCTAAGAGCGTTGAGATGCCCAACAGAGAGGAGCAACTCGTCTTCTCCGACGCCCTCGCCGACGCAAAAATCAGCGTCTTTGGGGTACTCTTCAATTTGTATCCCCTCGGGAATCTCGAATTCTTCCATTATGGATTCAATGGAGAATGGGATGCATCGAATAGATAGAACTGCATTCCTTTCTTTCTTAGTGAGGATACTATCCGACCCAGAGGTGGATATTTCAGCCTGGATCGGGGAAGCACCTGGCTGATTAGCCAAGTCACTTACAGGTTTAGGAAAGTTCGAAACCCTAGGTGGGGGAACCCTAATGAGATTAGGGGAAGACGAGGGAGTGGACTCAGAATCTACGATATCTATACGTTCAGGAGTAGTCGAAGTACTCATAATGTAAGATCGAAGAGAAAAAGATGAAGAACTAACCTGATAAAACGACGGAGTGAAGAATGCAAGAAACGTAGTGAGAGCAAAAGTAACCCTTATAGAATCTCTTAAGGCAGAATGGCAATGGGCAATCTTCGAAACGTCTTTTTGTAAAATAGACAACCGTGCAACTTCAATTCCCTTTTTAATAGGAGCCGCAATCCAATTAAAGAGGGAATTGGGGGCAAAGTGTGCAGGGAAAAATCTTCCTCCAATAAGAGCAATCCACGTCGTCATAAATATAACTTTATCTTCGATAAAGGTCAAAGCCCATCTTGTCAGAAGCCCAAGTTGAGTTGGTCATTAGCCCAAAACTACTGTTATCTAACTACCAGCTTTACTAAAGCTCGAATCAAGCCACCAGCAGTCATGTGTACCAAGTTAAATGCGGCCCAAATCCATTTAAAGGAGCCGGTCCTGTAAGGAAAATGATTCATCAAAGGAAGTAAGTTCTGTGTAAGGAAAATCCGGTAAGGGAAGAATTATAAAGAGGAAAGAATTCTATTTGTAAATAAATTGATATATGGAAAGAATTAGAGGACAAGTAACGCGAATACTACCATAATTCTTCTAACTTTTGTATATAAATAGAGGCCCAGACCTCCAATAAAAGGATCCAAGCAATTCTACGCTTCTCTATATACTGTTCTTATTTATTTTTACTGTTCTTGAGTGTATTGTATTATTTTTCTCATGGTTGAGCAGAATTTTGCACCTACAGTAGTATATAATGATTATATTACATATATAAAGTCAAGGCTTATGAATTCTTTTCTTTGTGATCAGCATGACTTGATTTGTGTACACTTATTTATATGCATACACACACACACATATATATTGTATGGGCATGAAAACAAAACTATTGTTGTACGGGCATGAAAAATCATAGTCACAGTTTTGTCTTTTCTTAATGACAAAGCATTAAAAAATTATTTAATGGCTTTGCTTTTATTAGATTAGATACGATTCCTTTCAATCAGAAGTCAAGCAGATCTATTGACTTTTCCAATCAAGCACAACCAAATTGAACAATTTCCCATGAATCAAGGCTTCGCATATCAGTCACCATCCTTTGATTTAGCATCCTATTATGTATAGCTATAAGTTAGTTGTCAATCACCTTAATCTTTACTGCTGTCAAGCTTTGTATTCCTAGCTACTGTAATTAGCTTTAGCCATCTCTATATATAAGTGTATGCACCTTGATGAGAAGAAATACACAAACGGTTATCAAATCAGCCATTATTATTCCTTATTCTAAATTCTCTTTATGGTATCAGAGCATTCTAGCTCCGATGAGGAATCCGGTCCTACTTTCTCCATAGGTGAAGAAAATTCCCAAAGCACTCAATCTCCATTGCTTATTAATCCTACACCAAACACTGGTCTGCCAAATCTTATTTCCATCAATGCAACAGCCCAATTACCTTTGAAACTCATATCTTTCTACTATCCTTCATGGAGAGCCCAATTTCATTCTCTACTATTCGGATATGATCTCCTGGGTTATCTCAATGGCTCTACCCCTTGTCCTTGTGAAACAATTGTCAAAGAAAACAAAATTGTTCCCAACCATGCCCACTCTTTTTGGCTGAGACAAGATCAACTCCTCCTTCATGCCATTTTTGTATCACTTTCCGAAACCGCAATGCCCTTGGTGGCTTCAGCCAAAACTTCTCAAGAAGCTTGGAACAAGTTGGCTAAGGTTTACGCCAACCAATCTTGATTGAGAGTTATGCATCTTAAGGAACGTATCACTTTAATGTCCCGTGGGACTCAATCTGTATCTGAATATCTTCAGACATTGAAGGGAATTTTCGATGAACTTGCTTTGATTGATGCATCAGTTAGTGAAGATGATCTCATTATTCATGCTCTTAATGGATTAGAAGCAGAATTTAAGCAGATTGTCGCTGCAATCCGTGCACGTGATAGTGTCATCGGCTTTGAAGAATTTCATGACAAGCTTGTTGCTTATGAGGAATCTCTCAAGAGAGAAGAAACACGTCCAGAACCCATTTCGATCACAGCCAACTACACTCAAAATGCTGCCAGTTCTGGTTCCAATTTCCGAAGTTCAGCAGAAGTTCATTAATGCCATCTGTAGAATCAATGACCTAGATACCTTGTGATTATACATTTAAATAACAAGATTGTGCCTCATTTTCAATTAATAAGATTTAATCATTCACATTATTTTACACATTGTGAATTGAAGTCTTCTAAATTACCCTTAAAAATGTTACAAGCTGCTATCAGAATATGACATGATTGATCTCATACTTTATAGGACTTTCGATCCCCTACCCCTAGTTTTTGGAGATTACCCTCCAGAAATGCGCCGTTATCTTGGGAAAGAATTACCCAGTTTCTCAGCAGAGGAAGCTAAATATGTCAAAGGCAGTATAGACTTCATTGGCCTTAACCATTATTCAACCTTTTATGCCAAGGACTGCATCCATTCTAGTTGCATTCTAGGTGAAGATCGTGCAATCCGAGGCTTTGTCAACCTTTCTGTGGAGCGTGATGGTTTTCCAATTGGACAACCGGTATGAAAAAATCGAAAAATAGATACCGGCTTTGTATAAAATTGTCTTGCAATCTAGTTTTTTCCCACTGAAGTATATATGTATATGGCACTTCTCTTGTTTCAAATAGACAGGGATGTCCGTATTTTTCATAGTTCCAAGAGGCATGGAGGAGGTCATTGACTATCTTAAGGAAAGATACCATAATCTGCCTATGTTCGTGGGTGAAAATGGTGAGTAAATGGCACATGTACCTCCGCATCTTAGTGGAATACAAGTTAAAAAAAAAAAAAAAAAAAAAAAAAAAAAAAAAAAAAAAAAAAAAAAAAAAAAGGTACATTTGAGTTTTACCATAAGGAGAGGACTGAATGGCTTTTAAGAGAGATTATAAAAACTAAACCACTAGAAACAATGTTCAGTTACTTGTAAAACTTATGTCGATCGATTTTGTTCTAAACTTTGAAAATCTGCTGTCATCTTCATTCATACCAGGATATTGTCCACCGCAGCAACAAGATGAACAGGTGAATGATCAACTCCACGATGTCAAGCGAATTGAATTTCACAAAGCATACCTCGCTTCGTTGGCCAGGGCAATAAGGTCACGCATTACTCTCTCCACTCAACAAAGCCTTGGAACTATTCATAAATTTCTTTTTCTGCTTCTTATTAAGCATGGTTCATTAGTCTCTCTTATTAACCACTTCTACATATATATAAGAAATATATATATATATATATATGCTATGATTGCCTGTAAAAAAAGCAATATATATATATATATATATATATATATATATATGCATGCTATGTGCATAATTAACCATTTCACCAAAATTTGATTTTGTAGGAAGGGAGCCGATGTTCGCGGCTATTTTGCATGGTCATTGATGGACAACTATGAGTGGGTAGCTGGTTACAAGATCAAATTTGGGCTTTTCTACATTGATCGTCAAACCCTAAAGCGGATACCAAAGCTTTCTGCTAAATGGTATAAAAATTTTCCAACCAACACTAGTAGCCACAAAAGTAAACAAATGAGAAACAAAAATGAGATGATCTCTTTATTGGAAGCCAAAAGAGCAGAAATGTAATACACATGCTTTTATATGTTGCTCACAACCACATTCTTAATTTTTATTTTTTTGAACAGCAACAATATTATCATTGTCATATTAGTTAAATGTTTCTTAGTATTGCTAAATGGCACTTAAAAAAAAAAAAAAAAAAAAAAAAAAATTTATGTTCTGTGTTTTTTTTTAATATGCTGTCACCTCACATCCAATGCTGTTTACATCATATGTTGATTGTTATAAACAGAATAAGCAGTGAAGTTCTTTAAAATGGAGCAGACACACAATTTAGTTGCAACCCAAAACAGATAATTGTTCAAATATTAAAAATGAAGACATAATTAAAATACATAGGCAAAACATATATTTTGGACCTATTGATTTGTTTGTACTGCACATGGAAGCCTAAGCTGAACACAATTTTCTTTCCTTAGGAGAAAGCACTCTAGTTTTTCAGCCTATGAATCTCAAAATAAATTATATATATGGGGGTGCCTAATAATTAGGTGATTTCAAACTCATTCACCAGCTCTACTTCAATTTTTTTATTATAAATCAAAAGAATTCCTAATAAAAAACAAGTCATTCTACACTTCATTATGACCAATGTTCGCAAGTCTTAACATGCCATGTTGTTTGGACTTAACTTGTTTATTAAATAATCTTAAAAATTAAATTTGAGCTGAACTTATAACATCATTTTTTTTTTCTATTAAAAGATGACTTTGAATTGGAGTAAATTTTTTACAGCTGTTTTGATAATTAATTCACACTCCTTTATATTTTATTATTTTTCAACTGAATTTTGGGTTTGGGACCAGGAAAGTTATTAAGAGCAACCGGTATAGATACATTTTTGCTAGCAAATGAGTCAGTATTGCGATAGTAAGGGAAGGTGTGGTGCTAGCTAATGGTGGGCCAGCACATTTTGCTAGCAATCTTGATCGCCACAGTTAACAGCCTGGTTGCTAGCCCAAAGTGGGCCCAAAGCTTCACCCGTTTATTTGTTGCCTTTTTGTTAATAAAAACACAATGGATCTTGACTGCAAAAATTAATAAAATAACAAATAGTTATCACCATACGGTCAACTTTTACTAGCAAATTACTATAATTAGCCACGTCAGCACAATTACTGACATGGCTGGCAATGCAAATAGCTGACGTGGCTAGCAATCAACATTTGCATTGCCAGCCAGTATAACTACTGCTATACCGGCTGCCCTAAAACTCTAAACAAACAATTGATCCGTGTGTGTGTATAAAACTATAAATAGGTATGTATACGCATATATAAACACACACCCAGTACAATGATTCACACGACCCCAGCAAAAGCATATAAAAAGTGCACATTCCGTATCCTGCCAAAAAAAAAAAAAAAAAATTTACCCACTGTCAAAACAAACAAAAGAGACGAACCAAACCAAGCCTCTGTGCATATTTGTTTAATATTGTGGTTCAAACATCACCCAAGCTTGTGTGGATATTTGTTGAATATTGTGGCTCAAACATCACCCATTACATCAGCAAGTGCATCATCAATGACATCATCAACTTGACCTTCAAAAATTGTGATCAGCAAGCCAGCCTATGCTTGGTGATCACCAAGTTCAGCAATGTTGTGTAATGATATTTTGGTTATAAGTAGCCTTGCTCCATGGTATTTTAGCATCAAAAATTGGGTGTGAATTTGTTCATAAAAGCAAAGCAAAGTGTGTGAGAGTTTTGGGTGTAATTAGGTTTTGGGTGTGAGCCACTTAGCCTTAAATCTCTTTATTTCTATAGTGAAATATTAATCTGTCTACTCCCCATAGACGTAGGCATAGCCGAACTACATAAATCCTTATCTCGTTTATGTGTGTGCCTATTTTATTTTCTTATCATTTATTTTTTCTCTTGTTCTCATAAATTTTTATTCGATCCTTATTTCATAACAAACTGGTATTAGAGCTCGGTTCATGTATTGTGAATAGATATTGTTCACACATATGGTACTATTCACAGATACTATTCGGGTACTGTTGTGATATCCCTCAATTTTAGAGCCACGGGTGATCAAGTCCAAGCACAGAATACAAGAGTTATCAAATAATTAATATTTAAACAAGCATTTGAATACAAAAAGAATATTAAAGAAATAAATAAATAATAAACTAAAGGGAACTAAAATAGATGTATATTCCTTTTTATATATAATATATAAATATACATCAGATTATTGCTAAATGACTTTCTTTATATATATATATATATATATATATATATATATATATATATATATATATATATTCATTCATTCATTTATTTATTTATTATATATACATATACAACTATCCATGGGTAATTATCCGTACCCATTAAACCCCTTATCCAAGTAGTCCATGGGATCCAATTGGTTGGTCCATTACTACTATCCATATCCGATTCCTTAAAAATATAAAAATTAAAAAACAATTAAATTCCTAAATAAATACACATATCACATATAATTTAATTTAAACAAAAAAATCGAATACATGTTTTAGCATACAATTTAATTTAAACAAATAAGTTAATTAACACATTTAAATAAATAATTAAATCAATTAAACAAGTAAACAATTAGCCAAGAAATCAAATAAATAATTAAAATGTAATTAAAACAATTAAAAATAATACCGAGACTATCATTTTGAAATTAGGAGTATTACATTCTTCCCCCTAACAAAAAGAATTCTGTCCTCAACATTTGCCCTTATATAATATATAAATATACACCAAATTATTGCTAAAGGACTTTCCTTATATATATATAGCAATAATATATATATAAGGAAAGTCCTTTAGCAATAATATATATATAAGGAAATATACACCAAATTATTGCTAAAGGACTTTCCTTATATATATATTATTGCTATATATATATAAGGAAAGTCCTTTAGCAATAATTTGGTGTATATTTATATATATATATATATATATATTTATTTATTTATATATATATATATATTTATTTATATATATATATATATTTATTTATTTATTTATGATATATACATATACAACTATTCATAGGTAATTATCTGTACCTATTAAACCCCCTATCCAAATAGTCCATGTGACCTAATTGGTTGGTCCATTATTACTATCCATATCCGATTCTTTAAAAATAAAAAAAATAAAAATAAAATAATTAATTTCCTAAATAAATACACATCATCACATATAATTTAATTTAAATAAAGAAATCGAATATATGTTTTAGCACACAATTTAATTTAAACAAATAAGTTAATTAACACATTTAAACAAATAATTAAATCAATGAAACAAGTAAACAATTAGTCAAGAAATCAAATAAATAATTAAAATGCAATTAAAACAATTAAAAAAAATACCGAGACAATCCTTTTGAAATTAAAGGTATTACAACTGTTCACAAATACGGTACTATTCATCGAGATTTTTTTTTTTTTTTGGAAAGTTTTTTGAGATGTCGATCAGATACGAGATTGAGAAATTTAATGGCAATATTAGCTTCAGTCTTTGGCGCATTAAAATGCAGGCCCTGTTGACTCAGTAAGGTCTAAAGAATGTGTTGTTCGAGAAAGACAAGTTGCCAGAAACTATATCCAATGAAGATAAGGATGAGGTCGACTAAAAGGCGCGCAGTGCGATTCTCCTGAATCTAGCCGATGAGGTGTTGCGTAAAGTTATTGATGAAGACACGACGGCAAAGTTGTGGCTGAAATTAGAGAATCTGTACATGACGAAGTCTCTTACCAACAGACTTTATCTGAAACAGAGACTCTACACCCTTCGTATGAAGGAAGGTATGCCTATTAAGGAACATGTTGATAATTTCAATTCTATTATTATGAATTTGAAAATTTCTAATATTAAAATTAATAAAGAAGATGAAGCCCTTATTTTGTTGTGTTCTTTGCCTCCTTCCTATAAGCATTTTGTTACCACATTGCTCTATGGAAAAGACACCATTGGTATGGAGGATGTTAAATCCTCACTGAACTCTCAAGAGTTAAGAAAAAAAAGGTGTCTGGAAATAATGGAGATGAACAGGCCGAGGGTCTGGTTGTGAGGGAAAGAAGTGAGAAAAAGGGTTCTGGTAGTAGGGGCAAATTGAGATCTAAATCTAGGTCTCATAAAGATACTGAAAATTATTATTGTCACCAAAAAGGGCACATTAAGTGGAATTGTCCAAAATTAAAAAATAAGAAAAAAGATAAAAAGAAGTCTAAGGATAAATTCACTAGTAATTCTTCTGATGTTGCTGGGGTTGCTGAGGAAAGTTCCTCGATGTTGAAAATGTTCTTTTAGTTTTTGTCAGTGATTGTCACTCTAGTAATGAATGGATTCTTGATTCTGGTTGTTCCTATCATATGTGTCCCAATAGAGACTGGTTTTTTTCTTACCGTTCTATTGATGGTGGTACTGTCTTAATGGGGAATGACAATCCCTGTAAGACTTTTGGCGTAGGCACAATCCAAATTAAGATGCATAATGGTATTGTTAGAACTTTAACTGATGTCCGGCATGTTCCAAATTTGAGAAAGAATTTGATTCCTCTTGGTACTCTTGACTCTAATGATTACAAGTTTTCAGCTGAATGTGAAGTTTTGAGAGTTTCTAAATGTGCTCTTACTATGCTTAAGGGAAAATAGATAAAAGACCTCTATTTTTATAGGGCAGTACTGTGACAGGCGTTGCTTTAGTATCTTCTTCAGTTGATCAAGATTCAGAAACTACCCATCTATGGCATATGCGTTTAGGGCATATGAGTGTGAGAGGTTTGACAAAATTGAGTAAATGAGGTTTGCTAAGTGGACAAAAGATGAGAAAACTAGACTTTTGCGAGCATTGTGTCTTTGGCAAGCAGAGAATACTCAAGTTCAGTACAACTGTTCATAGGACTAAGGGCATTGTTGATTACATTCATTCAGATCTTTGGGGTCCTTCCAGAGTTCCCTCTCTTAGTAGTTCTCAATATAGGTTGACTTTCATTGATGACTTCTCCAGG